ACACACACACACACACACACACACACACACACACACACACACACACACACACACACACACACACACACACACACACACACACACACACACACACACACACACACACACACACACACACACACACACACACACACACACACACACACACACACACACACACACACACACACACACACACACACACACACACACTATTACTTATCTACGTGCATGCAAATGCACATCTTTTTATGCAAAAGATAACCTAGAAAAGAAATGTATCTGCCATGGAATGTTAGTGTTTTAACTATTTTATGGGATGTTAGTGATTTTTTTAAAACTATTATGGGATGTTATAGGGTAGTTTTGATTATTATGGTGTTTTCTTTAACTATTATAGAATGTTATACAGTGGTTTTTGAACAATTGTAGGATGTTATAGTAGTTTTTAACTATTACTAGCATACAGCCCGACAAAAATGACGTGGCAAGTACTACCACCCCCACCCCATAGTATACCCTAACCTCACATTTCATAGCTAATTAAAATATTTTGCCAAATCAAGTTTGACCAACAAAGAGGCAGAAAATAGGATGTTATACTGTCATGAACTCTTTTGGTAATGATCAACAATATACATCATTGCTTAGCAACAAAACTATTATGGAATGTTATAAAGTGTTTTCACTATTACGAGTTGTTGTACAGTAGTTTTTACCTGTTATAGGATGTTAATGTTTTAACTTTTATAAGACTAGCTTATAGCCCATCAAAAATGATTGGGCAAGTAGTACCACCCCATAGTATTACCCTAACCTTGCATTTGATAGCTAACTGAAATAAATATATTTTTTGTTTAATGAAGACAACAAACAATTTCAGGAAAATGTGTACTTATTTATACCTGATGTTTCAGATTATGCCTTTATCAAGGGTCTATGAACGTCACAGGTTACCAAACTGATTTCAAATAACAGTAACCGAAACGAAATACAGCTAGAACAATATAACGGAAAAGTGAATGTGACATGAGTATAGTTGAACAGTTTTGAGTCATTGATCATAAAAATAGAGAAAAGATAATAATAAAGTGTTAAAGGAGACAGGCGTTGTACCTATTAATGGAAGGGCGTCTGGATTGGATCAAAAGTGATTCCTTATATTTTCTGTTGAGGAAATTGTCACAGATGCTAAAGGAGAGTTGCATATGGAGACTATGGGTCTTAGGGGTGTATCAGATTTATGGTCTTTTGGTAATCCATACCATTCAGGGGGTTTTGAATGAGATGGCCTAAGATTATCAAGAAGTCACATGGGTATAGTTGTTTCGCTTTCAAATTGCCCCAAAATGTATTTAGCATTTCTTTCCAGTTCTTTTGTAGGATCTTTAAGTGATTCGTAACTAGACGTAACATCGATATGTACCTTCATTTTTTCTATGTAACTGGATTTATTCATTACATCAAAACCTTTACATTTGTCACTCACTTTAACAATTTCTTGATCATCCATTTTTAACTCAATAATGACTAACCATTCGTTTTTTTAAATATTAAATTTAACATGGTAATTTATAAAACTATCTAAAATCCAGCTAACATCGTTTTTAAGCTTCTCAATACTCTCCTCTGTAGTAGGGCACACTTTGGGTGGTATGCATTTTGGAAGGTCAGAAGGTACAGGAATAAAATTTAATTGTGATTCATCCACATTATTATTAGAGTTGGGTATGTTTTTCTTGAACTCTTAATTTAGCGTCTGTGTCATGGCTACTTAAAGTTACTTCACCCTCTCCTCAATGAAATACCTTCACACCTTAATAGCACCAATTCGAACACTATCCTCTTTACTCTTGATGTTGTTTGTGTCCTTCCATTCCAAAAGAAGAAAGTATAAGCTTGGTTATGAACCTTCTTAGATCGACCAGCTGTTATACTACCATTGGTATTCCTACAGAAGTCATTGAAAATTCTCTCAGATTTATTCTCACAAACAGTTACTTCAAATTTGATTCACAAACAAACAAAAGAAAGGCATCACTGTGGGCAATAATATTGCTGTCATTGTGGCCTCTAGTTTCAAAATTACACTGAGTAAGAGCTGATGATTAAAAGAAATGCATAAAAACAATCTTGAACCAACTAGATGGCACAAATATATTGACAACATTTTCAGTTTATGGAATCATGGACTCCCTTCTCTTTTGGAATTGATTGAATTCCTTAATAATCAACACTCCGACATAATGCTCACGCTGACTCATACCGATAATGTCCAGAAATCTATACCCTTTCTTGATACCATGGTCATTATCAACAACAGCAAACTTGTTACTACCATATATTCTAAATCACGTGTTAAACCTATTATTCTACATTTTAACTCGACCAGCTGCCAAATAAGGTGTCATTATCAGTCAACTTAATAGAATTGATAAAATTTGCAACACTGTGGACAGTAAGACGCAAGCCAGGGTCAAACTTAAAAAGCTACTGTTGTCCAATGGCTACCCATATAGTTACATTATTAAGACATTCCACAGCTTTGACTCGCAAGATGTTAACAAACAACATCAAACTATTACATCAAGACACTGTTTCATGGATTAT